GGGGGCTTTGTGCTGTGAATGTTCCCACGCGCCATGATCAAATTACACTCCAGAAGCCTAGGTCCACGGCTGTGTGCCTGGTCTGGACGCATCAAACCCAGATGCACCTGTGGGCGTGCCCACACACACAGTATCACCACCAACCGTGGAGATCAGCCCAAGCGTCTGAGATGCAAGTCACTAGAGCACATGGAGCAAAGGTGAAGGAGGTCAGAGGGTGGACCGTTGGGCGCCCCTGCTGCCGTCAAGCCGCGCACCCCTCAGATAAAAAAGGCGATCCAGTCAAACCAAAAGGGAGGACCCTGCACCACGCTGATGTCAAGAGCGGCAGAGACACCCGCATCGCCGGGTGAAGGGGTGCTGGCAGCAACCCCGATATGCGGACAGTCAGTGAGGTCAGCGAAAACGGGTGGGGGTGCTTCCGTCAATCCGTGTGCATGTGGCTTCCGACCATGAAAATATCCATCCCGATCGGCTCCTCCTCCCAATCGCACCACTCCTCGCCGCTGCAGACGCCGCCGGGCTGGTGCGCGGCCGTGCTGAGCGGCGTGCCGCTGCCCGACGGCCCTCCTGCAGACGCGACGGCAGTTGCAGCTGCTGCCGCGGCCATCGCGGCTGCCGCTGCCGCATGCTGCTGCTGTTGAGGGGTGTGAAGCTGGTGGTGGTGCGGCTGGCCGTGCAGCTGCTGCTGCTCCTGCTGCTGCTGCTGCTGCTGCTGCTGCTGCTGCTGCTGCTGCTCAGGGGTGCCGCCAGTCATGGGCCCGTGACCTGCTCCCCCGCTTGCATGCAACTGGGCTGGCGAGGGCAGCGACGGCACCCTGCGTGGCTGCTGCTGCTGCTGCTGCTGCTGCTGCTGCTGCTGGGGACCCGCACCCCCGACGTCTGCAGGAGCCTGCGGCTGATAGGGTGGCGGCGTGGACGCGCGCGGCCGCAACCGTCGCACTTGCGACTCCTGCCGAGGCCCGCTGTCGCTGCCGACGCCGTCGCCGTCGCTGCTGGTCCGCCCGCTGCTGTCTGCAAACGCAGAGGAGCGCCTGCTGCTGCCAGCCTGCGTAAACAGGGAGGTGCGCGGGCAAGGCCGAACCCTGTCGTCCCATGCCGCAAGGCGGAATGCATGCGAGGCGCTGCTGCTGCATGCTGCTGGGCTTGCTCCCTCAGCTCGCATGCTACTGCGCAGGCAACTCTTCGGCACAAGTGCAACACGCCGGTACTCACGCTGCCGCGGTGGCTCCTGAGCGGGTAGCGGTGGCTGCGTTGCCCGCCGGCCTCGCGCCCCGCCAGCAGCGTGCGGCCCAGGCCTTTGGCGCGGTCGCGCGCCTCCTGCAGCGACGGCCGGTCGGCCGAGGCCCACACCAGCGGCGCGTGCTGCTCGTACCACCTGGGGCGGCAGGCGCGCGATGCCGGCGCCGCGCGCGCCGGTGGGCGGAGCGCGGCGCAAGCGGTGGGCCGCGCGAAGCACCGCCCCGCTCATCCCTGCGTGCCGGCATCTGGTGATGCGCGCTGGCCAGGACCCTAGGCGCCAGACGGGGGTGCCATGTGCAGATACTCAACTTGGTACCACCAATCCCTGCCGCATCGGCCCCTGCTCACCCGACGATCAGCGCCTTTTTCGGCCGGTGCCCAGATCTGTCATACACGCCCCGAAACCATGTGTCAAACTCGCGCCACTCGCGCCGCGCGCGCTGGCTCGGCGCCGTGCTGACGCCGTCCTGAGACCGCCGCGCCACGCCCGCCGACGCCTGATGGGCCGACATCTGCTGTCGGCCCGTGGGGGCGCCCCGGGGCTGTGGGCTGACCGTACACCGCGGCGCAGCGAGCTCGGTTGCTTGCGCCGCAACGCGCACTTTGTGCAGCACGGTGCGTGGGGACTCCGCACCACCAACTTCCCCACAATTAATTGAAAACTATACAATACACCCGCCCACGATTCCGCAAAAGCCCGCGGAGCACCAAGACAAGGGCCACTGCTGGTTTGCTGAGTTGACCTGCTAGGTATGCTGGCTCTTCTACAGATGAAACGATGTAAGGGTGTGATGAATTGGGGTGTTCGGTGCAAGGTCAGCCTTCGGGCTTTGCCGTAAAGCAGGCGGGCGTCAGTGATGTGGTGGAGCCTCAACGATATCATGCGAGGTTGTTTGTATGTAATGAACCAACATTGCTGATGCCATATGCCGTAAGTCTCAGATGGATTGGGCTTCCTTGGGGCTTGAACCAGGTAGGTGCGTGCAATCAGGCCTGGCAGGTGCAGTGGCAGCTCAGTACCAGTCAACGCTTCCAGCTCAAGAGGTGATGGGGCTCATGTGAAGAGGCATTACCGCACGAGGGTGCCCGCCGCCATCAAAAAGGAGTGTGCGTTACAGCTTGGCACCATCGTCCTCTGCAGCGTCGATCTCGGCCGTTGCGTCGGGTGGGGGCGCCTGCCCGTCAACCCCCCCTCGGTCGTCGCCCTCGCCCGCCACCGCCGAGCCGGCCTCCCCCGCCGCTTCGCTCCGCTCCACCCCTTTTGCAATGCCCGCCGCGACCCTCGCCGCGCCGCCGGACCCGCCGGGGGCGCCGCAGCCTGCGGCCTGCACCATTGCCTCCAGCTCGTCGCCCCACCTGCATGCCGCGCGAGACGCCGCCCACGCGCTTCACGACGCTCGCCCCAGCTTCCAAAACCCGCACGCACCGACAGGCGAGCGCAGGATCAGCTGCAACGTGCGTGCGCTTCGAACGAAGCATCACGCGTCGCCATCCCGCGGCGCGCGCATCCCGAGACGCGGGCGTGGGGATGCGCGCCTCGCGACAGGAACAAACACGCTAGAGCGCGCGCGCGCGCACGCGGCGGCGCTCGCTCACCCCAGCAGAGCCGCCAGCCGCCTGCAGCCGTCGTCGCAGTCCCCCAGGTGCAGAACGTCGCGGTACCCGGCGTCAAAGTCAAACCCGCCACCGCTTTTGACCCTGGAAGGTGCAACGACCCAGGTGCGGGCCCGCGCGGGCTTGTCAAGGGTGGCGAAAAACAACCAAGCGCCAGGCAGGAGGAAGCTGGGCGGACGCCAGGACGTGCGCCTCGCCATGGCACCAAAAAGGCGTCAAGGCGGCCAGACAGGCAAGGGGCTGCCCGGGAGCGAGCCATGCAGATTGACGAGCGCATCGCGGGTGGGAGCGTTGGATCCGCACCCTTGCAGGATCTGGTACGGCTCGTCTTCCCCGACGCGCTCCCGGTTGATGAGCAGCCGCGGCACGGAACCGCCCACGCAGCCTGCATGGGCGCGGGTCGCCAGAGTCAACCGCCGCAGACGTGTGACCTTTAGGAGCAGCAAGAGCCGCAGCCAGAGCCGCGCACGCAGGGGGCGTGCGCGCCTAGCGAGGCTGCACAGCGCCGGCGAGGCTGCCAGCGGCAGGATCAAGGCGCGGATGGTGGGGAGGCGGGCCCCGTGCGGGCCAAACCCACCTATGAGCGACGCGAAGGGGTGCACCACCAGGCTGGTGCCCAGAACTATCAGCAGGTCTGCCCTGGGGAAGTCCACCTCAGCCACTTGGGGGTGGCGATTGATGGTTGGGGGCATTTGGGAGGCGTCGGGGGTGGTTGGGGTCGGTTGAGGGTAAAGGTCGGGGCCAGAGGCGGCGCGAGCGACGAGGGCCCATGCAGCGAGGAACATTTAAGTGGGCACGCGACAAGCGCGAAAATGTGACAGAGGCGAGCGGAACGTCAGGGGCGCGCTGTGGGTGGGGCGGCGCAGCGCAGTGCGATACGGGAGCTTTGGACATGCGCGTGCGAATGCAGGGCTGCGCGGGGCCGGGCGCTCACTGTCATAAAACCTGTCAGGCAGGCTCTCCCCGAAGAACACTATGTCCGGCTTGACCAGGCCCCTGGAAGTCGTACAGACGGGCGAAGCATGCACGTAAGAGTCAACGAGTGAGTATTCGGGGGCATGTGTTTGGGGTGGAGGAGTCATGGGGTGGAGGAGGTATGGCTCGTTGCGACCAGGGCCCGTGTGCAGGAGGATCTCATTGCACCCAAGGGCAAGGCGGCCGCGGGCGCGCATGCGTTTCAGGAGACCACCCCGGCGGCGGCACGCACCCGCAGGAGGAGCAGTGGCAGATCTTGTCTGCAAACACCGCCTGCGGCAGTGCAGGCGGAGCGCAGCGGGCGCATCGGCGGCGGCGCTGCTGCTGTTGCAGAGGCAGCAAGTTACGACCGCACCGCGTGTGGGCCCGTGCTAAACCTTCCCACTGCCGTGGCGGTGGGGCGGAGCCGGTCCACTTTCCTGCACCCCTGCTGTTTCTGGCCCTCATCAAACCTTTGGCATCTCACACACACACACACACACACACACACACACACACACCAGAAACACTCACATCCACATGACAAAATGACATACACACTCCACCACCACCACGACAATCATCACCACATCCGCGACCAGCACCAGGGATGCCTCGGCTGCTGTAAGAGCGGCCCACCTCTTTCACGTAGTCCACCGAGTGCTGCCTGCCGCACTTGATGCAGTGCGCCTGCGCCAGCGCGGTCGAGGTGCAGCGCCGCCGTCACACACAGTCAAACGAGCCCCGCGGACGGCGGCGGCACAAGAGGGCGGCCCAGGCGAGGCCGCCAATGGAGCAAGATGGGACCGCCCGACGCGCAGCGGCCGACCGTCAGAACCATGCACCTCAGAGGCTGCTGCGGCCCCCGTAAATGCGTCACAATGATTTACTATAGTAAGATCCTTGGGGGCCGAGGCACAGCGCACCGTGTCAAAGTTCCCATGCGCCGCAACCACCCTGTCGCAGGGCAGCCCAGCTTGGTGCTCGAGGCTGTCGATGTTCTGGGTGTCTGCAGGGCGGCACGGGGGTTGAGAAGGGGGCTGCAGGTTACTGGGAAGGAGAGAAAGTGTGCAGGGAATGAGGGCCGGGTGACCACGTGGACGGGTTAAGGCAGGGAGGGAGGAGTTGAGGTGGCCGAAGGGTTTTTTTGGCTTGCGTCCTGAAATCAACAGTTTGCCGAGGGCGGGAGCGATGCAGGGAGAAGGAGGGGCGCAGCCAAAAGCAGAGAGGAGAGCGGGGAAGAGGGAAGAGGGGGGGCTGGCAAAGTACACGTGGCTGCCTCCCCAGGCCTCAGCGTTGTGGGTGCGCGCGGCGCGGGCAAGGCTCCCGCCTGTCAAATGGCGCGGTGGCAAATGTAACATTAAGCAGAGGCCGCACCCCAGCTGGCTTGCACATGGGAACCTACCGTGAAGGTTGCTTCCGCCTGCCCCTGGCTCTGCCTCCCTCTTACTTTGCATGCGCATGCGTGCAAGCACTCCCGCATCCGCACGTATGCACGCACACACTCTCTGTACGATTTGACCGCCAGTGTCCCCTTGTCGCCGTGGCAACTCACACACGCGCAGCAGCAGGCCCTTGTCCAGCAGAAGCTTCATGAACACGTGGGCAGGCGTCGGCGCGAAGTTCCCCGGGAACAGCTCCTGCGCGGCCAGAGGGCAACATCACATAAAGAGCAGGTCACCGGGTCAGCGGCCGCCTGGTCACGCGGGGCAGCACAGCGTGGTCACCCGAATCTGGGAAGGGGTGATTTCGCAGCGCAGAAGCCTGCTCTGCACAAAGACAGTCTCAGAGCATCGGTCGCCGGTGAGCCAACGCCGGCCCTTTGTTTGCTTTTGTCACGGCGCCGACCTTTGCCAAAATGTGGAAAGGCTTGGGGTTGCGACGGAAGTAGTTCATCTGGGGCAGGAGCAGGGTAAGCAGGGGTGAGTGCGGGCAGGTGCACGCACGCGCACTGTCACACGCCCCTCACGCATGCTGTGGTGGGAGCTCTTCCTGCACGCCGAACCTTCGAGACCCGCCAATCTGGCGCCAGTGCTGGCATTGTGTGGGGGTGCACCGCGGGTGTGCCAAGCTGTTCGTGTGCCCATGATTGCAGGGCCGGGGGGAGGGGTCGGGCGTCGAGGCTGCGGGCGTGTGCCCGCACCTCAAACACGGCCTCTGGTGTCGGCAGGTTGAGGCGGTCCAGCTGCGAGTACAGGCCCGTGCCCGGGGTGCGGAAGTCCGGGATGCCGGCTGACACGCTCACGCCTGCGCCGCACTGTGGCCCCAACGTGCAGAGGCGGGGGACGCGAAGCCATCGAGGGGGGTGGTTGGCTAGGGGTGCAGGTTAGCTGGCAGGGTGCTGCTGGAACAGTGGGCAAACGTGCGGCCGGCCAGCAGCAGCAGCGGCAGCAGCAGCGGCAGCAGCAGCAGCAGCAGCGGCAGCAGCAGCAGCAGCATCAGCAGGAGCACACGCAGCCCCTCCCCCAACACCATGATTATGATGCGCTTCGCCCTGCCGGCCTTGATGTGGGCCGCAACGCCCTCCAGGGTCAGCGGCTCAAGCACTGGCGGTCGCCGCGCCGACGTGGCCTCTCGCCGCCTGATGCGAATCACACCTGCATCCTGCAGCAACTGGGGTGAGCGGGCGCGGCCGGTGGCAAGGTGGAAGAGAGGGCATTGTGTCGGGCAGCCAGCGCGTCGCGGCGCGGCCGACCGTGCCCCGCGGGGGCTACGCTGCGCCGGCCGGCCCCCGTCTGCTACCCCGGGTGGCCGCTGGACGGCTGATGCGCCCCCTCCAGGCCCGGCGCCCAGGATTGCGCGGGTTTCATTGACACCGCCAAACACCCGTGTCTTCAAGCATCACAGATGTCCAGCGCCCCCACCCGCCCCCACCCGCGCCACCAATGCTTGTTACCCAACAATATTCAGAGTCAGGCCGGCTTCCATGCATTGCACATGCGGCCCGCATGCGCAGCTAGCCCCATGTTACATGGGGCAGTATGGGGCCCACCTGCAACACCCCTGGGTCGACCGGCTCCCCCAACTCCAGGCGGCGCGCCAGGTCAGCGACCAGGGCCTCGATGTCTGGCGCGGAGACGCCCTCAACATCTGGAGCGGCGTAGTCGCTTCCGCCGTCCACCGCGCCTGCCGCCGCCGTCTCAGGGGCGCCGCCGGGCTCCTCCTGGGCGGCGTCTGCGGCCGCGGCCGCGAGCTCGCCAGGATGCGGGCCCTGCTGCTGCGGTCGCTGCGAGGGCTGTGGCGCGGCCTGCTGCTGAGCATGTTCATTGTCTGCAGCAGGCCCATTGCACGGATCGGTGCTGCCGGAAGCGCTCGACATCGCGGTACGCCTCCTGCTGGTGCGCCCGCAACGGTCGGCCAAGTGCAGGCCTGCACGACTGGGCTGCCTTCGAGCAGCGTAGCTCAAGCGCCTGTGTGTTGCTCCAAGCATGCAGCGACCCGCAGCAACCAGGCTTCCGTATATGTTTGTCTGGAGACACACACCCGTGATCTTGAGAGTCTGGCACCTGAAGAGTGGGGCTTCTTTTCAACGTGAACACGATTGCATGAGTTATATTTTGTTGTGTACACTCCGGCAGCTGCCCGATAATCTCCCACAAGTGAGTCAACCTAGTGCATCGCTGCGTCGGGAGTCCCTTGCTGGTACGGCCACATGGGAATTAGAACCCCCTTTGTGCCGACAGTTCGCGCCGTCCTTGCTCAACAAACGCATCTCATCACCTCACGCGCTGACAATAGTTTGCACTGCTAGTCTTGCCGCAGCCAGGATGGCAGGGCCCCAGCTCCTGCTGGTATTGCTGATGTCATATGCTCTAAGTTCTGAAGCTTACCCTGGCCTGTTTGCAAACAAGCGCGCGGAGGGGTGTCTGGATCACCCGGGCGTCAAGTTTGCGGGCCACGGAGCCCCCAAGCCCGACAGGTGGGTCGCGTTACGAAGTACAAGCCATTCGAGTTGCAATGGTGGTAGCGGCAAGGCCTCGCGTGATCAATCAGCTTTCCGTGGGGTGACGCCAGGCAGCATACCCGCAGCGCATGCAACCGCCTGGCGCCAACATCAACCCAGTACGGCCACCGCGGCTGCCGCGCCTCCACAGCACGACCACGTTCGCTGTCAAGGATTCCAAGGGACTTCCAAAAAAGTCTTTCTGCCCAGGCGGCACCTACAAGATTGACGTGCAGTTTGTTGAGGAGCGCCAAGCACTGCTCACGGCGTCAAACGGTGTACTGGGCACTGGGGACAAGCGCTGGTGAGGAGGGAGCTGACGTGCGACTGGATGCCATCTTCAAGGGATTTTTTACAATCCCTCTTGCAGCTGGGGGCGGCACGGCTTGCGTATGTTTATGGATGTCGCTGGCCCGCCTGCCTGCAGGTTCCCGTTATCAGCCCCCTGTGTCCCTCCAGAAATGTCTTATCCACGCAAACCCGCAGCCTCAACCGCAAGTATTCGGCCAACATGCGGCTTGATGGCTTTGAGAGCAGTTTTACCGCGCCTTGCGATGCGGCAGGTGAGGTTAGCCGGGTGCCTGGGGCACTACTGAAGCGTGCTAGGGGTTCAGGGCAGCCGCCGGCCTGCGCCTGCGTCTGCCACGTGCACACACCCCTTCGGCCCAGAAGTTCGCCCAAACACAAGCGGCTGCCACCACGCCTGCACAGGCACCACCATTTTGTTCAAGGTGACATCAGCAGCTGGCGCGAAGGATTACTATCACCAGGCCACTGCCGAGGTGGACGTTGGCTACACCGATGGCCCGTGTGCCGACATCAGCAAAGCAGCGCAGTGTGAGTGGACGCTTTCTTGGCAGACAGCATGAAAATCCTACACCTGGCGCGCAGTTTTGTCAGATGGCGTAGCGGTCTGGCTGTCTCGAGCTTGGCTGCCTTGCCGCATTTAGGGTGCAGCTGTGGCTGAGGATCAAGCAAAATCAAGCCCGCTCACTCACTACCCCCCTGGTCGCAGGCAAGCCTGTCACCACGCCCATCGCCCTGCCAAAGACCCTGAGCAATGCACCCAAGAACCTGCCTGAGGCCCCCGCCACCAAGGCGCCTGTCCCGAAAATCGCAGCCGTCGCCGCCAGCACCACCCCAGTCGCAGTCGTCGGCGCGGCAGCTGCCCGCACGGCGACGCCCTCGTCTCTGGTGGACGGCGACGCACCGCCACTCGACGCCAAGGCCGGGGACAAGCTGCTGTTGAGGCCGGTCGTCAAGGGACCCCGCAACCGCATGGCGCTGCTGGCGCTACACGGCGCGCTGATGCTCCTTGCGTTCGTGGTGCTGCTGCCGCTGGGCGCACTTGTGTCCCGGCACCGATGGGTGTTTGGGCGAGACACTCGCACGGTGAGCCTGGGGGACCCCGCCACAGCCGGCGCAGGGGTGGTGCCCGCGCTGCAGCCGCAGGCAGAGGCCAGTCAAAGCTCGCCTGGAAACGGCAACCCCAGCAGCACGCAGGCTCGGCGGTGGTCTGCCCTGCGCATTAACTTGCTCTGCAACCCTGCCCCCCAGACCCTTTGGCACAAGCACGGTCGCTCGCAAACACGCACGCACAGGGCGAGGTTTCACCCAGCTGGCGGTGGGTCCATGTGACTGTTGTGCTGCTCGCTGTCCTCTGCGGCCTGGGAGGGCTGGCCTCGAACATCATTGGCTTCGGCTTCAGCACCCTCAGGTCTGTGCGGCTGCACGGACCCCACCAGTACCTCGGACTCGCGGCCCTCGGGGCCGCGGTCCTGTATTTTGCCCTCTCGCTGCTCCTGCCCGCCGGGACGCCGCGGCACGGCCGCGGGCTGCTGTCAGCGCTGCGGGGCGCGTGGGGTGTGGTGACGGTCGCGGCTGGCGTGGCGAACTGTGTCTTGGGGATCATCCTGGCCAACAGCTTCAAAGGGCATGCGCTCGTTTACTGGGTGGCGCCCGCGGCGGCCGCTGCGGGCGCTGTTGGTTTTGCAGCGGTGATGCTGGAAGCGCTGCGGATTCAAATGCGGCGGACTCAGAGGTACGATCCTGACACCAACAAGATGTTCGGTGTTTTCGAGGCAAGCCACATCCTCAGTATGCAAGATGGCAACAGCGATGGACATGGCAGCGGCGACAACTTGGCAACAGGGTGCATGGACAACGGCACCCCTGCAACTCAAAAAGTCTGAGGAGGGGTGACTTGTGTGGCAGAAGCTGAGTTGGGCGCCCCAGCCAGGCTGCCTTCCACAATGTTCGTCATCGACGCGATGTTTGCGAGACAACTTTAACCTGAACAGTGGTGCTTCTGCAAACCTCTGTGTTGTTGGTGGGGTGCGTAACCCCACCAGGGCATTGCAACCTGAATACAAGCAGCATAGAACTGCCTATCTCATCAGCCTCTGCCATTGGGCTTTGGTGGACCGTTTTGCACGACACTTCGAGTGGTCTGCTACTGGATGCAGTGTTCGGCACCTTGTGACCCTCACTACTGCCCCTTGCGAAGTGCTCAGCACCGCTTGTGCAGCACCGACTGGCACCTTGAATTTGAAGTTTTCAGTGGGTATTCTTGCTGTTGGCTGTAGGGAACGCTCTTCTGACACAAGTTTACTTTCTGAAGTCCATCAGCCAGAACAGAGTGTGATGGGTTGCTCAGGAGCCCGCATTCGTTTGGCGCCTGCACCGCCGCTTTCCTTGTGAGTTCACACGCAGAATGCATGTGCACCTCCTGCCCCTGACTTGCACTGAGCCGCACCCGATTCGCAAGCTCAGCTGCGCTGCCACAATTGTGTGGGGAATCACAACAGCCATGGCCGGTTGGCCCCGCTGTGGGGTCGCCGCTGCTCACCCCTATTTTGACGTGGCGTTGTGTGGGCTTCTGCTGCTTTGGCAAGCTTATTGATTTGCATCAGTGCGCGCAATCCTCCTGGAATAGAGCGGGCGAGGGCGCGTGAGATCCCAGGCGTTGGCCCTGCTCACCATGCGCGGTGGAGCACAGCGGCCTGCCGCGGTCTAACTCTTCAACTTCACCATGCCCTGTGGGTGCGAATGCAGCGCGAACTTTTGCCGCAACACAGGGCAGCGTCAGTGTGTGCCCCCCCTCTGGCCGACTGGCCTTGCATGATGCGCATCACCGCTTTTGGTGAAGGACGCCTTTTCCACACGCGTGCAGGTCTGTCGCACGCAGAAGAGCACGCGGGGCAGCTGTTGCTGTGGGTAATGCAGTAAGATTTCTAAGTTTGGATTTTCCTGGCGCCTCAAACCATGCGCAAAGAGCACGACACCGCTGTACACACGTGCAGGCGCTGAATTCCGAGCATTGACTGCAAATTGCTGCACTGATACCCGTGTTAGCCAGACGCGAGGCAGGGGGGAGTAGCGGAGCTTGACAAAGGGAAGAGACATCTTTGCCTGGAGCAAAATTACAAGTCTCACAAGTCGTACGAGACATGTGTGTGGTCAAACATGACATGGTATGCTGCCAGGGGATCATGCTGCCACGAGTTACACCGTGAGTCCCCTGTCAGCGCCATTTGCAAGAGTGTTTGCCTGAAGTGCTGTACAGGATTTGCAGCGATCGCAACGGCCAGGGGGGCTCGTGCGGCCCGACACATGTCATGTGTTGGGTGAGCCGTTGACAGTCGCCCACCAGGGTGCTCAGTAGCGGAGCTCAGCCCGCCGACCTTGACCAGCGCCTGCGCCGCTGGCGTCGCTGGTTGTGTCCCACAGCTGCGGTTGGCCAGCTGTGCACTCACAATCAGAGCACTGCCTATCCAACATGCCGTTCTGGTACGAATGAACCGGAGGAGCTCCGATCGCCACCAGCAGTTTGAAAGGTGTCACCGCTGGGGCACACAGTGCACGATCGATTTCGCGTACGTATCGTGACGAGATAAAAGACCAATCTGTCAATGCCGATCGCATCACATCCAGGGGAAACCCGCGGGCACCAACAACATGATGAGCTGGGCGCGGTGGTGGTGGTGCCTACCCTGCGTTGCTGCACCGCCTGGTGAGGATCCCACCAGAATAACGACTTCTTTCTTACGCTGCTAGTCGAGCCTCGCATGGCACACAAGCGATCCTGCGCCGTGCGCCGCCTGAACCGCCAAGCTGCGCTGTGCCTGCCCCCGCTGCAGACCGACAGCCATCGAGTGCAGGATCATCAGCTGTTGTTGAGTTGGTACATAGTACGGGTGATGGAAGTGTCCCCAGCGCCGCTCCGACACCCAACCACCTCAACAGCAGCCGCCGCCTCATGCCCAACCGCCATCCCCACTCCCGGCCTGCCAGGTGCAGTCGAGGCCTCGCTGGCTGCGATCTTGGCCGTCCCACCCAAAGCGTCCGCGCGTGAGGACCGGGTCGACGCGCGGTACGACGCCCCCGCCGCCCGCGGCCGCGATCAGACCGCCGCGAAGGGAGCCCGGGTGCCCGGCGCCGCGTCAGACGCGGACGCGGACGCCTCGGCGCCGCCGACGCCCCAGGGGCGGCTGGGTGAGGCGCAGCAGGCGGGCTCCTTTGAGGCTTCCCCCTCGGTTGCAACGGGAGAGCCGGGCGGCCAACTGCAGGCGATGCGTGCGCCTGCTTCTGAGAGGCAGCATCCGCAGGCGCCCGCCGTGGCGCCGCAGCCCACCCAGGCCGGTTCACAGCCCGCCGCGACCCCGGCACCTTACAACGCTGGCGCGGCGGCTGCTGCATCAACGGCCGAGGCAATGGCGGACGTGCCAGCTGAGCCGCCGAAGGCCACGGGCGCTGACCTGGCAGCCAGCCGCAGTGGTGCCGGCACGTTGCACTGGCCTCGGGCCGACGCTGAGGCCAACTCCGGCCCAGACCCAAACCAGCCTGCCGGCGCCGCGGCCGGCGCGGCGACCGACGCCATGGCCAAGGTGCCTCTGCCGACTCAGGCGTGGGGGTTGACGCCCTCTCCCGCCTCGCACGGCCCAGCGCCAGCCAGCGCAGTGGCTGAGGGCGTTCAAGGGCCTGAGCTTGCCGCCGACGCGCTGCCGCCGCTGATGAAGCGCCGGGCAGCGGCGGCGGCAGCAGCGGCGGC